AACCACTTCCTCGGTGCCCTGCTTCGCGCGCAGCAGGGCTGTTTAAACCTTGGATGTTAGGCCATATCCATTGCAGCCTTGGATCAAGCGGAACCTTGGTACGTTATTACCTTGGTTGTTAGCCCATATCCCTGGCTTACGGAAGAGATCAAGCGGAACCTTAGGAACATGAGGGGAAAGATGATCTTCAGAGGACCACTGATAGTAGTTAGGCCATATCCTTGAACCGCGAGGTGCAAGGATCAACCGGTACACAGTGGTCTGAAAATCCCGATCTGTGACCGACTTTGCGCGATTCGTCAGTGACCAATTGCAGGGGTGACCGATCGAAGCCTGGCAATCCTGTACTGGTCAACCTCCGGTATCTGCCGATGCTTGCGCATTAAGTCTAAAGCCGTCATCCCCCCCGGGGCACTTTAGACCAGGCAAAGTCGGAACCGGAGGGTCGGACGCCTCTCAAACGGGCTGGTGGTTGGGGCGATGTTGCAGATTGAAGTAGGTTTTGATGCAGGAGAGCCGAATACTTCACGAGAGTTCCGGGGCCTCGTGGCTCAGGGTATTCTGTTCTCCTGGGCCGAACAAGCCGGACAAAGTTTCAGCAATCTCTATCTCTGTAGAGAGTATCCAGCTACGAGTTTGTCGTCTCACTGCTGGATCGCACGGTGGTAGAGGAGTTCCCTGCATTCGGTCATTGGCGAATTGTTCACTGTTGTGAGTGAGGGTGCGCCCAGAACGCCAACCCAACTCTTCATGGCATGAGATCTTTAATAATTATTAAATTTTAAAAACATTTTAAAAATAAGGTTATTCCTTATTAAATCTCACTAACAACAAAGGCATGAGTCCCATGCCTTTGTCTTTTAAATTTCTTCTCCATTTTTCAAAATTTCTTTTCCATTTTTTAAAATTTCTTCAAAATTTTGAATTTCAAATTAACGTATGCCATGGGAGTTGTAAGTTGGACGGTGGAAGCGTGCCGTCTGATGTCGGTTCCTCCTCGTGGTGGACGGTGGAAACGAGGGTTTTACCCTCGGCTAAACGCCGACAAAATTGGTGCTAGTTTTGGCAGTAATACACAGGGGTCGATACTTTAGTCTATTTGATGTTTCATGACCCCTGGTAGCACCTTTTTCAGATGAATACATCTTTGACTTATAGTTTTTGACCATTCTCACAATTTCTATAACTTATTCATTCATCTTATTGATTTCTATAATATATTTCAGGATACAAATAATTATATGCCTAGAAAAAACACAGATGATTAACAAATAAAATATCAGAACACATCAATTAGAGCATCTTAGCTTTTTCATCAATTCGATTTTGATTTTGGGGCTAAAATGCTCCTTTCTCAAATATAAATTTAGAAGTTTTGTAGTGACGAGCGTCCAAAGATTTGCCATTGATTTTGCGTAGAAATAATTTATCAATTGATCGAGATTTAATCTGTTGGAGAAGCGGAGGAAGAGAAAGATAAAGTAGTAGAGAAAGAGGAGCAGAAAAAAAGAGAGAGGAAAAGAAGGTAAGGAAAATGAAGGAGGAGAGAGAGGAGAAAAATGAGGAGAAAGGTGGCAAAGGAAAACCGACAAGACTGGCAAGGAGGCTGACTTGATATGAATCTTCTATCGTACTGCTAAGGCGCAATGATACAACTATACGTACTCTCCGGAACGCGTGAGGTATCACGCCACGATTGAAGGCGTTTTCGAAACTGCCGACTCTCCATATCAGGATTCATTTCTCGCATAAGTAGGGCGTCTACGAAAACTGGCTGACAAGTATTCAGCATTTTTGCAGTACTGTTTCAGTGCCTTTCCAAAAAATTCAGTGCATAATAGGGAGAAAAAAACGGTACTTTTTTAGTACCTTCAAGCTGATTATTCATTTGACATCCAATTAATTGCATGTATTCCTGACCGCGTGTTTATTTTTAATTCTTCTATATAATTTATCAATTTGCTAAATACAATCCTAGCTTCGACACACTTAAACTATGCGGCCAAAACTGCAATGATAGTGGCAACGGAAAACCAACAAGACTGGCACGGACGTTGACTTGATATGAATCTGCGATCGTATTGCTAAGGCGCAATGATACAACTATACGTACTCTCCGGAACGCGTGACGTATCACGCCACAATTGAAGGCGTTTTCGAAACTGCTCGAAGTGATTTGAGTCTTCCATCGCATTGCTACGGCGCAAAAATACAACTATTCGTTCTCTCCGGAATGCGAGAATTATCACGCCACAATTGAAGTCGTTTTCAAAACTGCCAACTTTCCACATCTGAATTCTCTTGTCGTATAAATAGGGCGTCTACTAAAACCGGCTGACGTGTATTTAGCATTTTTGCAGTACCGTTTCAGTGCCTTTCCAAAAAATTCAGTGCATAATAGGGAGAAAAAAAACGGTACTTTTTTGGTACCTTCAAGTTGATTGTTCATTTGACTTCCTATTAATTAGATATATTCCCGACCGCTTGATTATATTTATTTCTTCTATATAATTTATCAATTTGCTAAATACAATCCTAGCTTCGACACACTTAAACTATGTGGCCGAAACTGCAATGATAGTGGCAAAGGAAAACCGACAAGACTGGAACGGACGCTGACTTGATATGAATCGGCTATCGTATTCCTAAGGCGCAATGATACAACTATACGTACTCTCCGGAACGCGTGAGGTATCACGTCGCAATTGAAGGCGTTTTCGGAACTGCCAACTCTCCATATCAGGATTCATGTGTTGCATAAGTAGGGCGTCTACAAAAACCGGCTAAAAAGTATTAGTTATTTTTGCAGTAGTTTTTCAGTGCCTTTCCAAGAAATTCAGTATCTCCTAGAAGAAAAAAACCGGTACTTTTTTTGGTACCTTCAAGCTGATTATTCATTTGACATCCTATTAATTAGATGTATTCCCGACCGCTAGTTTATATTTAATCCTTCGATATAATTTATCAATTTGCTAAATACAATCCTAGCTTGGGCACAATGTAATACAATGTTCAATGAAGATGCAGCTCTTACTGCATTAAAACAGCACGACTGATGAATGCTGATGTAAATAGGGTTATCGTACGTCATTTTGCAACGAAGGACCTACAGTGGTTGCATCAGGGATGCTGTGCTGTGTGTCACTAATCGCAAGTCTTGCAGCAGTTTTCATTGACATTTCAATAGAACATTGGCTGCATTTCAATAAGTTAAAGGTCCGTTATGGTTGAATTTCACATTACTGTTTGAGACTTAAAATTAGATGCTTTACAGTAAAGGCAGCAAGAACTAATGATATACATGCTGTGTATGCAGAGACTTTGATTGTGTAGAAAAATTATTTGAAACCTTTCTGCGACAGAATTACCCACTGTTAAACAGAAAGTGTTGTGCAACTCTGTTTAGATTAACTGATGGCTGGAGTGTTCACATATGAGTGCTTAACATTTGACCCAAGATGAATTTTGTCATCAGGAGACATCAGATCAATCGTTGGTTAGGTACCCGATGAGTACCATTGAGAGTTTGACAATTGTTCTTGAAGTCTTGCTGACTTTACACTACATGGCAGGCCATCGCTAAATGCAATTGCCCAGCACCTTTCATAGGTGCTGAGCGGTGGGATGACCTCAATGAGTTCATTATCACGCCACTTAGAAATAGAATAGACAGCAAAAGAGTGCAATGACATTGATTTGAGCCGCCATAACACCTACATGAAGGAAGTTTGTCAATGGGAAATTAAGTAGCTTTTCCTCTAATGCCTCCAGAGAACCCATCCTAAGTATGTTGGTCTCCAGAGGTTGATGGGTTTGTTGAGTTGTGTTCACTTTCTCTGTTTGGCATGTCATAAGATGAAACGTATCTTATGACGTCCTGCATCCCAATGTGTGTCTTGTGTATAATTGCATATTTTTATGATAATCTGCCAATGTTTTAAGAATTTAACCAGCTGTGGTAGATGATTAATGCCGAAATCACACGCTGAATTTAGTAGCTGAATGTGGAAGTCAACAGTCATCGCCCAACGGCTGAAATGTTGCAAATTCGAGTTATTTTCAACCAGATGTGAATCAAATCTATTCGAATAGTTCAGACAAATCCAACATTAGTCCGATGATTGCTGAGAATCGTTGCTGAAATTTGCACGTCACGCGCAAAATTCAGGCATCAGGCCGATGACTTCCACATTCAAGCCACATGCAGCGTGCGATTGCAGCATAACATTTAAAACGCAGATCTTCAAAAAAAACATGCGTTTTGCACTTATTAGAAGCAACATTTAAATGCATTCCATTTGGTGTATTATTTGTCTAGAAAGAATAGCTCATTGTGTCTTAATTTGGGAATTTCATGATACACAGTTGCAGATGCTGCATGTATTTAGAAAACAGCGAAGCCATACAGTATCAGATAAGTGGACTCCGACGACACACCTGAATTCATAAGTATGGCCTTTTTTTTTTAAAATCAAAATCATAGATCACAATTAATTGCAATGGGATGTGACAAAATGCATAACTTATTGATTTGGTCCACGGCCACAGTCCAGCCCATTCCGTGCGATCCAATGGAACGCTTGGATTGGTCTTGCAAGGTGGGTTGAGATTGTAGGTACGCCGAATCCTGGTCTCACTTTTATTCATGTACATCTTTATAGTTTTACTTGAACTTTTGAGACCCCTTCCAATTAAGTAAGTAACATTAACATCAAAGTAATTTGATCATCCATTATCATTTTCTAGCTACGTTTAAAAGGGCAATTGAATTACTGAGGACTTGCCCAACTTACATGCTTCTATTGCATGCCAACATAAACAAACGTCTAGCCGCCCTCTTCGTGGAATTACTTTTCTTGAAAGAGCAGGCAAAATCGGTTGGAACCAAGGAGGATCCCGATTCCATTACATTCCACGAATAAAGAGAAGCTTTGTCGTAGCCACTAGCCACAGCTTTCTCTAATCCAACAAAAGCTTGCAGAAAGAAAACATAACCTTACCTTGTGATATGCATTATCCATCTTGATGAAGTAATAACACGGGACGTTTCATTAATCCAAAGGGCAGATGGAATCAACACTCAAGAACACTTCATTTCCAATATGCTGAACCGTTATCACCATCAAAATATCGTGGACTGATAATCAAATCATCGGATACACAGCTGTTTTAAACGGTAGGGCACTGCGAAATTACTACATGTTACATGCTTGACAAGGTGAAAGTATCCAAACTCAATTAGGAAAACGTAAGTGCTGTAATTACATCGTAAGAAGAGTTGCCTATGAAGTTGCTTCTTCCACGGAGCATGTAAACAAACAGAGCGAACTTACAAAAAACTCACGAAACCCGCACAAGATATAATTTTCACCGACCAAATACGCTTTTAGGAACCACGATCATTTCTAAAAATTTCGGCCTGCACCAAAAGAGATTTTAACGGAAAAATGCAAGCCGTGATTACACATTGCAGCAGACGGAACAATGATTCATCGCGGAACACTAGACAAAGTTGAAGGACGGAGGCACAACAGCTTGTAATTAAAGGCACTCGAGTAAAAGACGTTTCAAATAGCTGAATCGAAAACACGATTACGAGTCCATCCACAACCGAAATCTGAATTTTTTAAGGCACAGAAGCTGCGGTTGGTGCAATACAAAAGAAATGCAAGAACTGGCTCAGAAATGGAAGTAGAAAGGTGTGGGCATCCGTTATCACTATCAACGGCCAATCACAGCTTAGCCTTTTTCTACGTCATCACAAAAAGTATGCGTAGGCTACCGCTACGTGAGAGGGGAGTAGATCCTGCTGCTCATTGCGACGTTGCCAAGTTTTTCGTCGCGGCTTGATACTATGCTTTGGCCTGACAGTTCCCGTTTGTTTTATTTTGCAACACTAGATTCTTTTCTTACGTCATTGACTTCGTAGGGTCCTTGCTGCATCACCTACTCCTGTAGGTAAGGACACTACGCAAAAACCTAATTACGAGCAATAATTTTTCGCAGTAAGTTAATCAAAATCTACTCTTGAAAAAAAATAATCAGAATTGAGGGGTAAATAATAAATGGGATACAACACACTTTAGGGGCTATGATGGCTGGCACCTATTTTATATTATTTTATTTTATTTTTTATTTATTTTTTTAACTTTATTATATTTATTTTTTTTTAATGAGATCATGAACAAAATTTGTAAATGTTTAAAAGTTTGTTCCTCCGGTTTTTCCACTTTTTCTTTACAAAAAGGTTGGAGAATCGGCTGCAAGTAGGTACGTGCTACAGTCACTGTGACCTGTAGTGAAACAGTTTGACATATCTATGGAAGCAGACCATTTTCTATTAAGAGAGGGGAAAATCTAATAGACAGAGAGCTGAAATTTAGGTATGCAAGGCCGAATTTTGTCACGAAAAACAGGTAAACTTCATTGTAACTCCAATCAATTGCGACTGCACTTGGGTCCATTTGGTGAAAAATAACTTTTGAAATTTCGTAATAATTTTAAAGCAAAAATTGCGTTTTTGAATAGCACTGCTCACAGTCAGTGTTGAGGCAAACGGCTCTTAACTCTCCTGAGAAGCCATAAGATCCGCCTTCAACTAAAGAGATAGGCAAAAGCGGGTTCTCAGACGCGTCAGTAATTGTGACTGCATTTTGACGCAGTAAGACGCACTGATGTCGTCATTCCGTAGTCGCCTTGGTGCTTGGTCGTCATACTTGTCAATTTAGAGTCAAAATTTCAGTTATTGGAAAGTGCTCTAGAACTTAGGTATGGCAAAAGTTACCTTAAAAAACTCCATTTTTATGAAGTATGGTCTTACTGCTCGTCCGAATAGAATAACGACGGCGTAAGTCCGCAATCACATATCTGGTTTGCGGTAATTGCGGTATCTGAAAATCTCCGCTTCAATGTTATTTTTTTAAAGAAGTACAAATTGACATTATTCCTTGAAGTTTATGCAGAATTTTCTTCGCACAGAGAAGAAAAATCACGGCAGTTTTAATGAATTACCGTTGAGTATAGTTTTCCGTTCAAAAAATAAAGTATGACAGGAAGTCTGCGACGTCTCAAACCGAGTTATGTGATTGCCGACTTACACCGTCGATAATGTTGTGTTTCATTTAAAGGGCCAGAGCATGAACATGTTCATTGATGTCTTTGGAAAAACTGCGAGCAGGGTTGCAATTTTTTATGAAAAATAAAAGCTTAAATTTCATGTAAAATACTTCATGAAATTTCAGAAATTTACACAAACTCATGTCTCAGCAATATTTCTTTCTATGCGTTTCCAAGAATACTATTTTTTGAAATAATTTCGTTGTAACCCGACCCTAGTCGATAGAAAAAGAAATAAACAAAGGTAGGTAGGGCAAAAATTTCAAAATGACGCTATCGAGACCAGTGTTTTTGCAGTTCCATCGGTAAAATGTGTAAAATCGGATGTATAGTGGGTCGATAATAAATTGCTGGTACAATTCGTAAAACACGTAGGTATCTCAATAGCTGTGCTGCAGATCATTTCCAGTTTACAAATTTTCCATGCGAAGGGAAAGTGAGGATCAGGATTTTTAAGGGTTTTCTACCGGTTTCTCTTCCTCGTATAAAGAGAATTTAGTGTACCTAAATTCCGAGGAGTCGATTTGTTCTTTGAAAAAATGACAAAAAATCGGAACAACAGAGAAAATTTTAAGACATCGCGTTCGAGATACGTGTTTCCAGATTTACATTATTTATCGATGGGGAGAAATATATATACCAACAACTGTTCATTGTAAGGAACATTTATTTCGAGTGTACACAACCATTATATCATTCGACAAGCTGATTCTCTTTGAGGAGTACAAGCTCCAACCTGAGCTGGAATTCTGTAAGTCGAACGGTTTCGGGTCTGTGTGGACACCGTGTCGCTCAGAGCCGATGATAATAACACAGTTTCCTTTGTATCTATTCAGGTACTCATTAAATGCAGGTCCGTTGTTAAAGTAACAGAACATCAGTGCTGAGTTTTCATCCTCGGCCAAGTCAAAGAATTGCTCATCTTCGGGAAACACCAGAGGAATGAAACTTGGCGGTGAATAAGGCGATCTCCACCATTTTGAATCTATTTCTAGGCCGATCACCTCCACTCCTGTTAAATAAAATCGAGAAAATGCGGGGATTTTTAAAACAGCAAGCAATAATCAACACTTGTAAATGAGCGACTCTCTTAAATTCCAAATGGCGTGGCGTACTTTTCGATATATCGATTGATCTGCCCTTTAAACCTATGGTAAATGATAATAAACAAGGTATTCACAACGAACACGTTAATAATCGATTCTTTATCACAGCTTCAAATGGGGAAATATCGATAATCGATCATTCACGCCTCGCCACTGGTAACCGTCCACAATACTGCCGTGCTAAGGAAGAACGCCGTATGAACCTTCAGGCGTTGCCAAATTTCCTTTGATAAAACACAAATATCCTAGTAAACTCTTGAATATTTTCCTTCTAATTTTTCATACAATTTAGATAGCAATTTTACCTAAAGTTCCTGAAAATTTCAAGGAAAAATTTTCATGAGTTGCCTTAAAAATGAACGTCTTATCGAAAGAAATTTGGCAACTCTCGAATGTTCATACGTCGTTCTTCCTTGGCACGGCAGAATAGAGGGTAACTTAGTGTTCGGGGGCAACTTTACCCCCCCCCTCCCCCCTCCGCAAACATTTCTCGTCTTCACGGTCTTTAGGGTGTCTTGAATGGCCTGAACCATCATATGTTAGATCTGCATACTGATGTTAAAACGCCCTCAATAAACATTTTCGGTGTTCCAAAAGGTACTTTATTTTGGTGCAGGAGCACTACGAAAATCCAAGTCTCCGACTCAATTCGTCGGAAAAGTGAAGGGGCGTTCTAAGACTTTCGGGCCACCCTGTACAAAATAATAGCTTTTTGTAAAACACGAAGGAATCACATTAACACCATGTTAGTTCGCCTTCAATTTTAGCGTGGGCAACATGCACAAGCTACACACGTGATCGAATGGTCGGTATAATCGTGAAATGGTACTGCCTCTCGGGACGTACAAAAATAAAATATTTTTACCAAACGGGAAGAGGTTAATATCAGTTTGCCTTCAATTTTTACAGTAGGCAACACGAGTCCCCACCTGACCGAATAGTGGTATCATCGTGAAACGGCACTCGCACTCGAGACGGACACAAAGAAGAGCTTTTACCAGCTGTGAGTTCGCCTTCAATTTTTACTGTAGGCAATACGAGTTCCCAAGTGGTCGAATAGTGGTATCATCGTGAAATGCCTCGCTCACTCGCTAAGACCATAATCTTCATGAGCACTGGAACTGAATTTAATCGAGACTGGTATGAATGTTGCTTGCGCTCGTTCGTTCTTTTGAATATTTTTTGACAGGGCTAAATATGTTTCGAAGGCAAATGAACCTCGCCATGATTACCAAAGCACAAATCATTCTTTTGAAAAGTCTCTTGAGCACTAGGGGTCCTTCTTTCCACTCACGGTTATATGATGTAGAGTTCCTTTATACCCAGAGTTAAGACAACTCGATTATCAGCTGACTGGCAGCCGGCCTTGGCTGCCCATGGAAGCCGAAACGAGTGCACCCAAACGAACGATATTGAGGGATGAGGATCAGGAATCCTGCGATGTCTGTCACACAAAAACAACAACATCAACAAATTGATCAATTAAAACGAAAATTAGATTGGTTTGTGAATAATTTCTTAATCTATTTTCATTTTAGACCGATGGAAATAACAATTTACTCTTGATAAACCACAATTAGCTAATATTATCATTATTCTTGTTCACATTCGAGGTACCGCCATCTTGGTGCACTCGTTTCGGCCTCCATGAGCGAGAACCAATCAGAATTGGGTTTTTTTTAGGCTACTTTCAGCCCAACCAAAAGTGAGTTGTCTTAACTCTGGGTATAAAGGGACTCTAATATGATGACGCTACTGCGTATAGCAATCAAAATGAGTAAAAATCTTCCCATAAAAAGAGAAAAAAGAAAAACAACTTAAAATCAAAGTACATTAACAATACCTACGGCGGCTTTCAAGAGCCATTCAAAGAGACCGCAGCCTGCACCCACGCTCACAATCCTGGTGCATTCCGTTGCCTCGGTTATTTTCCTCAAGAATACCAAATCTTCCAACTGTGGCTCAACCCACATTAACAGGGAATCTTTCAGGGATGGATGACATAGAACAGATTTCCAGTCACCTATTTGAAAATAAATACATAAAAAATAATATTGAAGGTGGGGTGAAAAGAAGTCAAGAGCGTTAGAAAAGTAAATATCGACGGTGAAACTACCAAACCACGTATCTCGGTTTGCGACGTCGCAGACTTCCTGTCATACTTTATTTTTTAAATGAAAAACTACTTAACATCCAGTCTCGAAAATTTCTGTGATTTTTCCTCTCTGTGCGGAGAAAATTCCGTGAAAATTACAAGGAATGATATTGATTTTGTCTACTTCAAAAAAATAAAATGTGAGCGTAGATTTTTAAACACCGCAAACGAGATACGTGGTTTGGTAGTTTCACCGTCGATATGTAGGGTAATTTCCTTTTTTGATTGACTTTGATTTGATGTAACAACAGAAACTGTATTTGGATGTATTCTGTCAAACGGACCTAGGTGCCAATTTGAGTTCCTTTTGAGGAATTTAGAATGCCGGATAGCGCGTTCTGTCAAACGGACCTAAGCGCCATGGAAAAGCATTGCGAGTATAGGACGGAATGAGCCCGACGCCCGGTTCCGCCGCCAATCCAAGCCCCCCTCACCCTTCCTCCCGCGATGGCGCTTAGTTCCGTTTAATAGAATTACGTCCATTTGAATTTTGCAGTTTCTTTTTCACGACGCAAAATCACCCTAGTTCCTTTTACCCAAAGTTGGTCCATTTATTTTGAAGGATGCTACAATGGCTCTAAATACAATAAATTTTGATTAATTTTTAGAAATCTTACTACTTTCTCTTCCTCCCTCCTAAATCGGTATGCAGCTCTTCAAAGAAGTGATCCAACTGTGAGTATAAAACTTTGCATCTGAGTTGTATATCAAAGGAGTATTTCCTTCAAATATTTTTTATATCTGCAAAACGCAGCTCGAACTCAAACTGCTTTACTTGGAAAACGGGTTTTTTCATACTTAATTGTGAAACATTCTTGTCGTGGGAGTGATTAGCGATGCTTCGAATGCAACTTCTTTTTATTTATTGACTGTTGTCAGTCTCATTGTATCACATCAAAATGAAGGCGTTTTATGCTGTGTCAGAGCGAAACTTAAACGCCTACAGCTCAAGAGTCTCGAGCAGGCGGGCTCGAGAGTTTGACAAATTTTTGTGGGCAACAAGCGTTGATCAAGGGGAATAAATATTTTCTCTAAGTTTGGTAAATTTGTTAAAAAGCTTCCAACCCATAGAGACAGATAGAATAAAAAGAGAAAACTAAAATCTTTGCATTAGATATAGCAGGCATCATGCACGTTGTTCATCACCGTAGATTGGTCTAAATGACCTAGTTGCACGGTTTCATTCAGATTTTAGTCTTTAGTAAAAAAATAAATTTCTTTCGTGTTTCATTATTACTATATCTACAACTACTGATATCTTTGATGTATTACTATGAATGGTTTAATTGTGCAAGTCCTAGGATTATATTGCTTCGATACTTGAACTTATGGAGTACGAAAAAATAACATACAGGAATCCAAATGCAATCTGTGCGTTTTTGCGTCCAATATTAATAAAGATATCATCGTTCGACAAACACGGTGATTGATATCAGTAGCCGCAATTATACTTTGGTCTCCTCAACCGTGATTTTTTATCCGGGATGCACACACTTACGAAAATTCACATTATTGTTGCATTCTAAATTCGTTACCAATAAATTTGATTATGAACTCGGTCCATTGACGATTCATCATTACAAACGAAAGGCGTGAAAAAGAGGAAGGGGCACTTCACTTACCTCGCTGGTACAGATTTTCAATCTCTTCACGACTTTCCTCCTTCATGGGTGGATTTAAAATTTAGAAATTGGAGTTGAAGATGTATTGCCGCAAATAATCAATTGAGCGCGCATTAGCTTTTAGAGACCCATTAAAATATGCGCGTTCTAGTAGGGGTACTCGGTTCAACAACTAGCGCGACATTTCTGTAAAATAAAATAATAAATTACCTAAGTATCGGATAAAAGATTTAAGGCCTGAACACGAAAGTGCCTTTCCTCTTCTTCTTCTTTTTTTTTAATTAGACCTTCAAACTCATTTTTTTCTTCCTTTGGATAATTATGAGAACAAACCCTCTTGTCTGTAGGTAGAAAAAGATAAAGGAAGGAACAAAAAAAGTTTTAGAAAATCCATCCATTTCTTAGATCCTGAGAACAGTTTATCTTAAGATCAAAAAACATAGTTTTGAGAGAGACCTGTTTTAAGTTTTGAAGACGCATGAGGGCTGCATTACTCTGTCTGTCACAAAATGTTGCATAACTTAATCAATAATGACCAGACTTGAACATTTTAATTCCAAAATACAGCTGAGTATGAACAACTTAGCGTTGAGCCCCAATCTAGGTAACATTTCTGTTTCCGCCACTTTTGACCGGGTACTCCAGAAAAGCAACTTCGAATAAGATGGTCTAAGTTCAATTACCAAAATTTTAAAAGAAAGCGTTTGTTTCTGAACCCCTTCAAATTCCGCGGGTATACACATTGAGCCATGCAGAAGTTAAAATAGTTGTATCTTGTAATTTTTGGCTGGGTGCATGAATTTTCGTAAAATTTCCTAGCTCATGCCAAAACAGGGACCCTCAGGATTGCCTAAATCTCTTCATTTTCCATTCCGTAAATTTTCCCTGACATAAAATTTCTGAATTCCCTGACTTTTGATTAAAGCCTCCAGGGCCGGATTTACCTACTTGCCGCCCATGGGCCGCCTGTATTTTGCCGCCCCTTCTCATTCGTTTTGAAACATTGATACAAATCATCAAGTGAACGTGCTAGATGAGGAGGGGTGCATAAGACGCGTTTACTCGCGTTGAGCACATTTTTTGTGAAAATCCTGTCACCACTAACAAGAGTTCACGGAACTCTGCGCGAAAATTAAGTTCCGTAAACCTATCCCTGTGTAGACAAGGCCTTTCATTAATGAGAAAAGAACGAAAAAATTGTGGAAGAATAAACATGAATGTGGTTTAATGATTTTAATTTCCGCCACTGCGCTGTGTTTGGCGCAATGCGTGAAGTATCCCTACTGTCATGTAGGCGCTATGCGTTTCACGCGCCGACCGCTGCTGACCGCACTACGTTTGACGCAATGCGTGAAGTATTCGTGGAGTCTTGTAGGCGCTAATATGTGTTTCATGCTGACCGGCGCGCCAAGGGCTTCTCCTTTCCATCCATCTCAAGTCCTCGTCGTCATTGCTCTCTACGCCGCGCAAAATTTCGTGTTTGGTTTCTCTCTCAACTTCTGTCTCTTGCATGACCGAAAGACGAACAAATTAGAAATTACTGTACTTTAACTCTCAGGAAATGAGAGATTTTTTCGCCTTTCCTCGCTTGTAATTTTTTTTTCTGAATCAGATTTTTTTCTTGATACCTACATTTGAAAAAATTACATTCGCCGCCCCCTAAATTTGCCGCCATGGGCCGCGGCCCATGTGGCCAGCTGGCCACCCCCTAAATCCGGCCCTGAAAGCCTCCACAATCCAATGTTTTTCTTCCTTTTTCACTTACGCTGATTTTCGTTAAACCATGAACGAAATCTCCCGATCTATAGAGATTCAAATTAAGGCAAAAGGCACCGAGAAGTTGTCATGTAAGTTTAAGACTTTACGGCATTAGATGTCTGGACTTACCTTTTTTTTGAGCGACTTTCCTTGATCTCAGACGGGAAGTTTAGCTAGGTGCGTCCTGCAGATATCAGTTGATAAGTAAGAAGCTTTCAATAAACGCACAATGAGAACACCAATTTTTCTAATTTGTCTAATACTTCTGAAGAATCACGTATGACACTTTTTTTTTTCTTTGGGAGCGCTGAATTTCACGCAATAACCCACGACATGAGTTTTCAGGTGCACGTTGGCTTTGTTTTGTTTTGATGGCGCGCACGTAACATTGAACGTGAACTATTCTAGAAGAGGAACTAACGAAACTAAGAATAGGTAGCTACCGCAAAGCCTAGAATAATCTGTAGAAGGAATACTATTGACCTGCCACAAGTTCGATTGTATATTTAACCACTCGGCGTCGCCTTCGCCAACAACGAAAATATTTTGGCAGCTGCATTATTTTTTAACTCTTTCCGTATACCTACGTTTTCCCCTTCCCTTGGTGTGGATGAACATTTTGTATGAGACACACACGGACAAATCGTCGGTAAAACTCCCAAACCAAACATCGCGTTTGCGGTGTTTAAGAATTTCCGCTCCCATTTTCTTTCATTGAAGGAGAACAAATCAGCACATGGGCGGATCTAAAGGAAGGCGTAGGGAGCGCATGCCCCCCCCCCCCCCCCCCCCCCCNCGTTCGCTCGAAAAAAAGAAGGAAAACGAGAAAAAAAACAAAGAGGAACGGATGGAAGAAGTAAGGATGCTTATATATTTTAGAATTATTCATCACGAAATAGGCTTAAACTGCATATTAGATGCTTACAAATTTCGACAATTTTCTGAAGGAAGCCCCCACCCTCGCCTCCATCGTTTAAAGTGTCTGGATCCGCCTACGGATCAATATCAGTCCGTATATTTTCACAGAATTTCCTACGCATACAGAAGAAAAGTCACGTAAGTCACAAATAATTAATTTTTAATAATTTTCGATTGAAACAGATAAATTTAAAAAATGAAGTATGACAGGAAGTCTGCAACGTTGCAAACACGGACACGTGATTTGGAAATTTTACCATCTTTACAATATCTTTCGTGCAAATACTTAATTTCTTATTTTTCAGATTGAAATCCAAAAAACGTTAGGTATCTCTTAAACGAATCCTAGGTTTTTCTTCTGACGAGAAAACAATTCTGTGAAAATTGAAGGGAATTGACTAGTATCATTCCCTTTAAATTCAAGAAAAAAAAAACCGAAATTTTGACAGCTCATAATGAAGATACGTGTCTTTTAATTTGACAGTTATTAGAAATATTATGCATTGTAAGATATGGTATAAATGACATGTATGGTAGGGTGTTAAAAAAAAAAAAAAAAAAAAAAAAAAAAAAAAAAAAAACTGTTTTCTTGAAAACCTTTGCTCCACTCAAAATTTCTGGTGCTACTAGACCTCTGTGCTACCTACTGAGGTAGCATGAATATGGGTAAAATTTTGGTCTCGCACATTTAAACATGGATCCCAAGCCCCCCCCCCCTTTCCAAAAATGGGCTGATTTTGAAGATTTTTTTCAAGCTCAATATTTACATATAAGACATTATTTAGTGATTCTTCAATTAAAATGCTTCATTCACTCTCATTCAATGAGAACTATAAGTAGCCATGATTCTAACATGTAGGCACACTCAGGGGAAACACGTAATTTTAGGGGGCATGAGCTAATAAGAAAATCCTTGAAATTTTCTGGTTTTTGTTTTTCGTATTTCTTTGCCCTTGAGGAAGAAGTTTCAATGTTTTCGAGGGATTCTTTTTAAGTAGTACTTTAGCGGGAAAAATAAGCTCATTCCTTCCCAGAAAAGTTCCCTGTGATGAGGGGGGCAATTCCTTTCATCTCAGTATCGCGAGAAACACGCGATTTTGTAAAACACGAATGATTTCCCATATTACCTCAATATTGTGGAAAGTATACTCCAGAGTTCGAAAATTCACTGAATAGGTACTTTTCTTGCTGAAATATAAATTCAGGGGCTTGGAGAACAAGTGGGATAGGTGCAGTTCTTGAAATACAGGGATATTAACGATTTCACTACAACTAGTCTTAAAACAAATTCTGGAAAAAAATTCACTACTAAAATCCGATTTTCAAGCATCAGAAAGTGAGTTTGAACTTTTTTTCCACCATGAGACTCCATGAAATTTTGACACTTTATTCACATGTTTTCTGAGATAGTAAAAAATGCACTTATCCCACTTGTCCTCCAAGTCCCTCAGTTATTGTTATCATTCTGAAATTTTCAGGAGGATTTCAGCTTTTTTTTCTTGCTTTTTTCAAACATATTATTACTTAATTCAATATAAAACTATAAGGCAAAGAGGAGCTTACTTTGTTATGCACCTTAGTAGTTATCCTCAGATCCTATTAAAAAAAAAAAAAAAAAAAAAAAAAAAAAAAAAAAAACTAAACTCACTTTCTCCAGAAGAGGAAGGGATGATAAGAAGAAACGAGTACCTTTCCCTGTTCTGCCACATAGACAGGGTTTTATCACCAAATCAAAGCCCTTATCCAGAGAAACAATGCTGCTTGTTGTTCAAATTGAAAATTGTTTCATGGTTTGATCTAGTTGAATAAAGTTTTTTGACTTACAGACAAGGATAATTCTGAGGAGAAAAGGATGAACTTAAAAAAAAAAAACAGATTAGTGCTTATTTTGAGACATGTATTTGGATTTTTCCCCCCTTTCATTTTTAAAGTACGCATTTTATCACAATAACAATGATTTTCACAGGTGTTGAATGTGATTATTCTCACTGCACTTCACTTAACACCTGAGAGTTAATAAAAGTATAAAATTTGTATGTCACTATAAGAGACAAGTAATTTAATTTCAGTAAATTAAATAGTTAAAGCCGATTTTAATGGTGGAGTGTTCAAGATTTTTCATATTTTTTGGTAAAAGAATCTAACTATACAATTTCATAGCACAGGACAATCTCTTCATTGATTCTTGCTTTTGCAAGACATTAGTTTGAGGTATCTGCTCTAAAATTGAACAAACATTAGGGTATCCAACACATTTTGGTGAAATACTGGTCCTTCTTTTAATGTTTAGTGCAAAATAGATCACTCAAGCCAATGAATATATATTTTCTGATATCTATTTCCTAAAGATTTCTTTTGAAAATTAAAAAAATAAGTTGGAGTTAATATGAACTTGAATTGTTTCTTTCGATTAGATGTCTATCAAATTGAACGGCAAATATCATGTTCAGTAAATTTTTGCCTTCATGGAGTTTTCAAGAGATTTTTCAGAAACAAACAGCTTACATGAGTTTTTCGGCTATTTACCTACATTTGGCTATAAAATCAAATCAAAACTAGTGTTTAAGCAAAATTTGTCGGTGACACAATGTTTCTTTACTACCAGTATGGGTCCATCTTAAGAACATTAAAAATGGATGGTTTTGTATTCTGCTCTAGATGGTACTTGCTACTGGGTTTTACGTAGTCCATTAAGCGCCATACCCTCAATAAGGCGTGAGTATACAAAGTTCTTTTTTATTGCAAAACGGAACATTCAAAGTAGACTGAATTTCCATTCATTGCTGATGGCGCCATGGTAAGACAACAGAATGGAGAAAAAAGATTACAGTTTGGCTTCACTTATTCGGTGCAACTATTTGTCATTCATAACTGCTTTACTGTATGCCAAGTCCCAGTACTGTTCAACTTCATGTTTCCTAAATTGTTCCCGTGCTAGTTTTTCTGTGGCACATACTTTGAATTTCATTTCACCAAAGTTTCTTTGTTTCACCAAACCCTGAAAAAGTACAGTAAGATATTATGATACAAATATTAGAACAAGAAACGGTCAAAATTCAGACATGAGTGAGAAATGACGAATTTACATTATGGAATGAAAATTAGAAGATTTAAATTCATACTCACTATTGACTCATGACTGTATTTTCGAACCATTTTCACTAAGCACACCAAAGTGGAACAATGTTCATAAAAAAATTCATTTGTGGGATGCAAAGTGGGGGGGTATCCATCACTCCTTGCCTTCTGCAAGATATTCATATGTGACCTGTCAAAATTCCCTCATCACAACAAGAATGTAACGTAACTGGTGAACTAAGAATATGTGATAACAGTGAGAGAGAAAAAGGATCAGGGCAAGAATTACACAACATTTCTTCGTGAGTTTGAGCCTGCATTAAGACAAGAGTGAAAAGTCAGCAGTCAACGGGCTGTTTACAACCAAATCTACGCCGTCAATAAGCGGATAAGTAAGAGTGGCGGACTGACTTGGCCGTGCTGTGTTTTAATAGGTTGAAATCATTTAAAAATTTGATAATTACGCAACCGACGACGGCAACGCTGCCGCTTTGTCTTATCCTCTTGAAGAGACAGTTAGTCTTGTCGTGTCGGGCCCGAGAAGTTCAAAAATTGCTCTCCGCTAACCCAATCGACACGACAAAGAGTTGATAGAGCTTTGTCGCCTGTTTTCAATAATCGGCCCGCAGGTGAGATAAAATGATAAAGAGGAGATTTTGTCTATTATTTAATCTTACCTCCCATACGAGGACACATTTATTGGGAACATCTTTTCCATCCTCATCTTTCAGCATATCTTCTTCCCACTTTATCCTGTGAAGCATCAACCTAGAAAGATTAAAACATGACCATTAGATGAGTTTCAGTAAAAAATTGAACTTGGATTCACAATAGAAACTTTGTAGTAAATCTAATACAAGAAACTTAAAACCGGATGATTTTCAAGTAATTTAATCTTTGATTTTTTTTATGTTCTCTCTCGTTTGATGAGGAATTAGCTACTCAAAATATGAAATAGAATTTTACCTTTTAAACTTTTTCTGCTGTTTTGGACCTCCTTCCACAACTATCACATTGCAGTCTTTGAACATGACAACACAGCCAGTCATGAATAATTGTTTGGCATTTGTTTCTACTTTGAACTTTTTCGATGCGCTACTTAACTGATCAACCCTGAGAAACACAAAAAATTAAATTAATTAATGAAGTTTCAAAGTATAATGTTGAAAACGATCTGAGAAACAAGATAAAAAACTATTTAGACCTCGGGTAAAGAAACAATACAAAATTACACCGTAAAATTTTGAAAAAAGACTAGTGCACATATAAATGCTGGTTAACAAAGAAGCATCTTTCAGTTGAAAGTCAGGTAAAACAGTTTTGAGAAAATCTGTCCAAGCTGTACACACACAAAAAAGAAAAAAAAAAAAAAATAAATAAATCTTCTAACTCAAGGTAAATACGCCAAGAGATGAGTGAGGATTTAAGCTTTAATCTTCTTACACATTATGCTTAGTAAAATTTTTCAATATGCAGTTACCTTTGACATGCCAATTAGATAACAGAACTCAGCACTGAAAACTAAAGAATTTGATGCTCGCTAAAGTCTGCTTGTATTTAATATGCTGTCCTTTACAACTTCTTGAGCACAATGAGCGTTTAAAGTTGAACTTTTTAAGAGCCAATTATGAGAAAACAGGGCTGAAAGGTGAACTTTCCAGCATTTTAACTTTCATTATCAGGTAGGGATATTGCAACTTATGATTGGCGATTGAGGACAGGTTTTGTTACCCTGCAAGTCAGGAAGATAAGATGGACGAGAAGAATATAATTCCTCTAAATGGCAATGGCGTGCAAAGCAGCGTCCACAGACGCATAGCAATGTTTCTACATCTCCAAAAGAAAATGTATCTTAGAATGCCAAAAAATGTTTTTTTTAGGCCTGCTTTACTCAAAATTAATACTTACAAATAAAAAGTTTGATTTTAAAAGCTCATGATGTTTAGACAATAACGGACATCATATCAAATAATAACATTTAGCCATCGCAGAATTTTCTAATACTCTACGAAAGATTCTTTGCGAGTGCATTTCTTCAAAATGGTTGTAAAGCAGAATGTTAGATACTTCGTTTCAATATTACGATAGGTACCTTTAAAAAAGGGAGAAGACTAACCTGTAAATTGCTACATGGACTCCTAACGTTGTATCTTCTTGAATTTTTCTTAGTTTTTTCTCTTTCCGTTGTTCAGTTGATAATTGTCTGGCAGCATTCGAGTCTTCATGAGCTTTCTGTCTTTTAGCCATCTGGGCTCTGACATGAGCTTCTATTTTTGTTGGATCTTGAACAGCTTCTGTCCCAAGAACCCTCATCAAGTTTGAAATACGAAGCTAAAACAAGAAATAATGAAAAAATTATATTAATGAGCAAAAATTCTAGAGAATTGTGCAGAGGCCATTAACTGATCATCTATGAATCCCCACAGCTATAAATAGAAATATGAGTGGAAGCACCAAAGCCTCCCAAAATAAAACCTACATAAAACACTGCGATCTTGCCCCTGACAAAAGTATTATAGAAAATAATAAAACTTTAAAAGATCATTTTAGTCAATCTCCATACTGTGCGAAAAATAAAATAAAACTAAGTTTCCCAAGATAAATATACCCACAATAGGACGTTCAGTTTAAGATCTCATGATCTTGCATTCTCAGTATTCTTGGCACACCCAAAACTTTCTTTTATTTCTGGGCTGGGGCTAGCAGAAGAGTACATACAAGATTCTCTTCCATAAATGTTGCGAACAAGCAGTATGCAAGGAAAGAAAAAGTAAACAGGTGAGACAAACCTTTGGTTCGGGAGGAGGTTCTAATCCTAATCTAATTTTCTCTTGTTCTTCTTTCCACGCTTCCCTTCGATTTTGCCGCCTTAATTTCTTCCGCTCCTTTTTCGTCAGGAACACAGGCATGTAGTCTGGTTTCAAAGAGCTAGCTGAAAAAATGAAAAGACGTTTATCAAACATGCAATAAAGAAGCGCCGTCAAAATATCCAAATGATAAAGTTGAGGAAATATTTAAAACAAATAAACTTTGAAAAAAAAAAACTTTCACACTTAACAGACATTATATACATTGTCCTCTAATAACAAGATTTTATTAAAAAGGATTCTAAAATCAAGCTGATGGAGAGTTGAGCTGTGGTAGGAGTTTGAGAAGTTCAGTTTTCTTCAGATTAGACAGTTGGAGTATTTTTACCGACAGACTTGATAAGAATTACTGAATTAACATCAGTTTCGTTAAGAAAAAATGAAAAAATATCAACCACTTAGATTAGTTTTACTAATGAAAAAAAAAACTCACTTGGTGGTTTCATTTGGGTTGGATGTTCCACTAGATGGGTGATAGCATTCTGCTTGATATTGACAGACCCATTAAGATTATTGCTGTACCTGTAAATAAAACAATATTCAATAAAACTTGTGAAAGGACAATGAGTGCATTGCATAAACAAGAAGAAAAAAAAACACTAAGAAACGTGGCCAGAACTGTATGTACCAGGGCGGTAGAATAGTGCTCAATCCCAACTATTTTGGAGGGAAAACAAGGCCAAAAAGGTTCAAAAGTTTCAATTGAGGTAAAAATGTTGAGCTTTATTGAGTGCCAGCACAAGACTGAGGGGGGACATTTTTCAGTTCAGGCAGATGCATGGGAATACTATAAGCTGCTATTGAGCTGAACACTCGCCCTCCTCAGTATTGTGCTGGTTCTCAGTAGAGCTCTAATTGATATTTTTGAACTTTTCTTGCCTTTTCCCCTTCAAAGTAGTGTGGACTTAGCACTAATTTATCACCTTCTTGCATTGCATTAATAGGCAAAAAAGATTAGAACTTTATATCTTTACTTTTTTCATATCAGAATATTATTACTTTTCTAAAATATTAATAGATATGTACAAGAAACAAAAAGAAGGCTCTATGGCACTCAATAAAAACTCCATGAAAAATCCATTGGATCGATTCCTTGTCAACTTAGTATGAAAGATGCTGAGATCGTTTAAAGGCCCCAAATATGAGTACACAGGGTAAAAATTGATTCAGGCAGGTAAAAAATGAAGAATAAACGGTTCCTCTTAAGAATGTCTGATACATTTTTATGCCCAGTGATTAACCAATAACCATTAATTATCCTGTGCGCAGAAACACATGACATCCTGTACTTTGCTCCTTCAGTTTATCTGTCACACTCTAACTTGATTTTACTGTTTCGACTCCTCCCGGGTCTTCATTAGCTGAATTATTTTTTCACTTTATTTTCTTGCACTATTCTCCCTCCCCACGTACAGACTGTATGACGTTGTAACTTTAATTGGCGCTACTGTCCTTTTCAGAGTATAGTAACATAATACGATTATTCAATCGTATTTAGACTTTTTTACAAAAAACTTTTCCAGGTTCTGATTAACTTGTGATCTTGACCCATTGCGATCAAATGTAAATTTGAAATCAATAATTTTAGAATCAATTTTTGGTTATGGAAGGTTTTTTAAATCAAACTCTGGGTCCCAATTTTCTGTCTCTTATTCACTTGATTTCTTTTTTTTACTACTGAATAATACTAAGACTCAGTTTCCTCTAGGTGACTAGTAAAGGAACTTGTAAATCGAGCGCAGAGCGTTCGACTTTTCATTGTCCACGGAATTGAAGAGGTAGCTCTAGACAGCTAGTTTTGAGTAACCGTTAAACACACTCTACTGAGTTTACCTCAAATAATCAACAATACAAAGAAAGAAATTTTTTTACTTACTCTTCCCCTTCAAGTATGACAGCATCCCACCATTCAACTCTGGGAATTTCTTCTATTTCATTTTCAATTTTAGGTGCCATCTGGGCTAATTTCGTTACTGAGGATATGCCAGTTTTACGAGCTATTTGAGAAATTTCATTTTGTAATTTTTCCAACTGGGCCTGGGAAAAACAGAAAAAAACTTAGTTCAAAGAAGAATTTACTTAAATAATTAAAAGAGAATAGAGAGATGGTAGGCAAGCAAATAAATAAGAAAAAAAAAATGATAACAAAAAATAGAGAGGCTGAGGAAAAGAAATTGCATGCTGTCATTGCAAAGCTCATAGAAACAAGGTTATTTGGTCTCATTTCTTGAAAGGTACCTCAATGGTCACATGGTTCATATTGTTGATTTCTAAGCATTGGGTACTTTTGGGTGTTACACAGAAAAAAATAAAATTACTGATTTAACAATTTTGTAGTTAAAAAAAGTGTCCGAAATGTTTCAATGTAGATTTTGCAATAAAAAACTGCTAATTTAGCTAGACCAAAAAACAACAAAGAAACTTACAGAGGTTAAACATATTTGACCGCTCCCAAAATCTCTCTTTATTAAAAGTGATTTTTAGCCTCATCCCCCCCCCCCACCGAGAAAAATCTTGATATGATTAAATTTTCTTTCAAATGCACTGCTGATAAAGAATTATACATAAAGAAATCAATGAAGTTGTATTGGACGATATGATTTCACCAAGGACTTGGGATTCACCCAAGGATGGGTGATTGGTAAATATTTACCTATACGTAGTACCTAGGATGGGTTTCATCCAATATTTTTGGCTTACTACAAAATAGAAGGGAAATCAACATGATATGGGGAATATTCCTGTTACATTTTGTACACTTCCCCTACCCAGTTGATTCGTTCATTTGATGCAAAATACACGACACTCAGAAAACAACTTTTTTGTACATCCACTTAACGTATCACATTCCTCGCTGGTACAAAAGGAATACAATTTCTTATAGACTTGTGAGAAATTTTACTTCTGCATTTCTTAGCTTCTTGCAATAATTTAGTTTCTCGTACATAAATAAATATAGAGTAAAAAGTCATTAAAAAATTCGGGCAAAAAACGAACATTAAAATCAATAAAAGTTTTTTTTTCATGAGACACCATACAAAACACTGTTGATTGCATTGTTTGGAATTGAAAAAATCCAAGATCCTTACTTTCATTCGCATCCGTTCTGCCAACTGTCGAAATTTCCCTGGCTCATGGAACTTAAAAGACCTTTTGCCTCGTACACTGGGACGGGTTGAGATTCGTGGATCGTAAAATGTGGTTTCGCTTGTTTCTTCACCCGGTTTTTCAGCTAGCTGCTGACGAAATTCTTCTCTCCTCTTTGCATGGATATTAGCCTATAAAGACATAATAATCATACTGATTGAGCCACAGATGCAAAAAAAGAAGAAAAAGAAAAGAAAAATACACTGAGAAAAAAGGGGGGGAAAGGAAAAGGGAATGAGAAAAAAATCTATGTTTCCTAGTCTATGTGAACTTAAAACAAAACATTGAAGTTTATTCACAACAGACTTAATATAAAATATGCTCCTGTTTGTAATATGAAGGATTTTTGCTTTAAATTTCTATTTTTAACAGCAAACAGATCATTATTATAATGTTAAAATGCATGTATTTTTCTTCCCTTTTCAATGATATTCTCTGCTAGTTTGTAGCAAAATTGAGGGATAAGATTTACTTGAAACTTTAAATTGACAAAACTTTTGAAAAATTTACGCTGACATATGGATTTTCTTAAAATCAAGTAAATTTAAGAACTTTTTACTTAGGGAAAATTGGCATTTGGGAAAATATGTGTAAAAATTTTAAATTATCTTCCCATACTTATAAATGTCATTGATGTGTAAGTTGTACACAGTCTCTCTTAAAAAGAAGCATTTTAGCAGCTTCCACCATGCTCCACAACTCAGTTCAAAACCAAAAATTTTATGAGCATGCAGGTTTCATTGATTTTAACTCTTATTACCGAAAAATGTTTTCTTTTTCCTCATTTATTGGATAGATTCAAGGGCATTTGCCAATTCTCCAGACTTTAAACATTTCTTTACTTTAAAAAAACCCGTAAACTTAACGAAGTGCCACCAATTTCATTTAAGGAGTATGAGCATTTCTAAGTACCTTTAAAGTTGGGGTGACTTGTGAAAGCTGAATTTCTTTTCCAGACGAATCCACGGTACGGCCTTCATTGTCAAGAATCAATGGAGTTGGTTTGTCTTGTTTAACTGGTAAGACACCACTAGAGATCTTTGACTGAATCTGAGCCTATAAAAACAAAAAACAAAAACAACTGAGTAGGTAAGTTTTCTTCTTTCACGATGAGCGACCAATCCTGGAATTGAGATAAAGAAATTACAAGTATAACTGAGATGATATTAGAGTGAGTTTGCTTCATTGAATGAAAGTTTCATCAGATATTTTACTTGACAAGTAAGCGATAATATTTACTAAACTTTTCAAAGATAGTGTCGCAAGCATTTCTAACTATTCAATTTACTTTAAAGAACAACCATTGAGCAAATTTTACACATTCATAGAGAACCAACCAAATAAACAAATCTCAATTTGTGATACAGCAGATTTCGAGGCATAATTTCCTCTTTTGCACGATTATAGACATTTCGAAACATTCCATTTGAGAGGGGTGTTCTATTAATTTCTTTATCTATGGCCGGTGCTCTCCTTTTGAGAGTTAACTTCTAGATCTTTCATTCAAAATTACTGGCAGTAATTTGCGGATTGAAAGAATAAACCTCCTTACTTACTGCTTTCATGCACTTTTTTTTTCATTTTGATGCATGCAAGAACAACTAAAATTACTCAATCCAATTATCAACCCCCAAGGAACAAAATGAAACAGAACCAAAAGTCTTCAAATATTTTAACCATCATGAAAAATCAGATGCATGAAAGTAAAGCATTAACTTTCCGATGTCAATGTTTTAAATACCTACTATTTTCTGTGAGTTAGCACATTTAGCAAATGGAAACCAGAGGATGTTTTTTGAAAAAGTAGAGTTTGGGATAATTTTGAGCTTGTATAGAAGACTGCTTTCTCTTGACAAATATTTCAAGTCTACAACCATTTAGTGTGTAGGAATTGGGCTTGAAATTTGTTTTTTATAATAGCCTTACTGATGATGGAAAAGGAAACTTCAAGAGCATTTTTCTCAGTTTCAAGTTCGTATCACTTGATTCCCTTTTGCTAAACACCGATTAGGAGTTACAACTAGGTATAAAAATGTAGGAAAACGACATATTCAATATGGTCTTATTGAATTGGTTCATATCCAATCGGTTGGATGACTTGACATTTCGAAACTTTGCCTGCTTAAATACGTAATACCTAGAAAGAAAACAAATATAAAAAGAAGAGGAAAACGAAAAGAAACTTAAAAGATATGATGTATGAAACTCACTTGCAATTCTGCAATTCTTTTAGCTTTTTCATCAGTTGCTGGAATTCCGACAGGTGGTTTAGGTACTGGTGGCGCCGCAGCAACAGGCGCTGATTTACCTTTCAAGGACTCTAAAGCTCGTTTCCGTTCAGCGATCATCCTCTGTGCATCTTTCATCATATCTTTAATCTAAAAAAAAGAAATAAAAACAAGTTGTCATTCCTACTTATGAAATAAGGAGTTGGTTTGAAAATTGTGAGTCATTCACACCTAGAGTAGCAAAGAGCAGATTCCACTAAACTGCTGCTTCGACTCCTGCGGCTCAATTTTTGAATCAGTATTGAGCGACTATGATCAATAAGAAGCATTGCTAAGATAAGGATTTATCGATCAGGATCATTCGATAAACGATTCATTAATCAACCTACTGGTGGCGTATGGATTCAGACTCCAGCTGATTTAGGAGTTTAGATAATTGAATATATCAATGGTTAAGCTCTTCTGTCTGAAGTCCAGAGATGCACATAGTTTACATTTAAGAGCGGAAGCATCGTATGTTGAGACCAAAGTCAAGTATTGTTTAGGTCACCACTCATCCAAGGTGCCATCTGATTGCATGTTGACCTGTTGCGTGGTGCTAATTCTGAGGTGATCAGGGATTGACATTTATCTCAACATATGATGCTTCCGCTCTAGAATGTGTTTAAAGTTATATTTGTGCTCAGTTGCCTGTATCTTTTGAGTGCAACAGACCCATTCTGAATGAAATAACTTACGAACACCCTCCTCAGACTGACAATTGGACAGATTAAAAGAAGAAACCTTGAATTTATTCTCGATGCACTCTCATCTACCTAGAGCTCCTCTTACAATGCCTTAGATATGTCTCCGTCAAATCAAAATTTGAAGTTTGATCTAGGGCTAAGTAGAATTAGAGGGTGAGAATTAACATGAGAATTTGGCTTTGCAACAGAGGGTAAATGGATTCAACGTACCTGTAGCTCGCCGATTTTTGATGCATTCGGATCTCCTGGAGTGCTCCCCATGACTTGCTTCTTAACACTTTTCATTATCAATTAAATTTGAATTACAATGAAGAAAGAACTAAGATATTTGGCATGTCTCCCTTCAAAAGCATAAAAAAATGAGATCCTAAGCCCTGACGATACTTATTATCAGGACTAACACACGGAGTAATACAGATACTTAAAAGATCACCATAGGAAAAGTTTTAAATCTAAAAGTCACACACTCATTCAAGCCAGTGAAAAGAAAGGGAACAAACCACTGCCACTGAATAATTACATTTCAAACCATTGTATTTGAAAAAATTACATGCGGAAACTGCAAAAAGTGAACAAGTGCAAAAAGTGAGGTTAGGACGTACGAATACGATTTTGTGATTTTCGTTTTGTCCACAGTGTTTACGCGAGCGCTGCTGTATAGCTCAATGTTGCCGTTTCAAAATGAATTTCATCTGGTAATCTTTGATCCTGTATTTTATTGTATTGAGTATATTTATCCATTTATCGAAGCAACGAAGTGAAAGAAAATACCAAGGAAAATTTACCTCAGTCAAAATAGACAAACGGCCACTGCACTACAGGAAAAACACACAATTTCTTATGATTCTCCGCCTATATCGGCAACTGTGTTTTTGCCGATTATCGAACTTTTGTTTACGTCCGTCATTCAGTCGTAAACTTTCTAAGTTTGAAGTTTCGATTTGATGAATCATTTCAAGTATATTCATATGGCCTTAGTAATTTTTCTTCAGTGACTACTCGCAAAGCATTATTGAACGTCTGACATCCTGAAATAACCATCCCTTTCGTAAATATCGAAGAATTCCGTTTACTCATCTCGCCTTCGGCATGGTCCTTTTGGAGAATGACGTGGTAAGTTACTTATGCTCGCAATTTTCCCTTGCCACATTCTCACTTTTCAGTGAAAATTTCTATCAGCACACGTTAGAAAGTGACTATAACTGTTCAGCAATGAATTCTGTATTGAAGGATAAATAAGCTGTCCTGCCGAGTGGGTCCTCTGTTTTGAGGTTATGCAGTATCTGCAACACCACATCCATAGCAGATGGGAATCACTCAGACGTATGACTTAAGAACCTGAAATTACAGGGTAATATTTTCACCTTTTCCCTCAAACTTGCGAGCGAATAAAATTAGTAACTAACTCGGAATTGAACAGGCGTAGCTACGCACTTCATTGTGCATTTTACAGACCTATATGCCTCTGATGATGAATGGAGGCAGGTAGAGTTCACGCCAAACAAGTTTACACACTTTAAGAGAGTGATAGAAAATGCACCACCTTGACTCATGAATTTACTATTTGTGATCAATTGAAGATAGCTGATCTTCTGTCACACTCTGAAACTGCTTTAACTTGAGTTGCGTGAACTCTAAATTGAATTGATGGAATAAGGTTTTTTTTAACCAAACTGCAAAGGAACGTGATGAAATGCCGCACTGTTTTATACAGTCTTCTTGCGCAGTCCAGCTAATTCCCTGTGTCCAGTTGGACCGCTAAGAATGCTTCAGGACGCTTCTCACAAGGTGGGTTGCGAGTAGTCACGTGCGATCCTAACCTCAGTCGAACCACTTCGTAACATGAAGACCATGATCTACCGCATTCCATGGTTAAAAAAGAGCCTTTATGATGCCCGTCTGATTGACAATACATTATGTTTTGTTTACTAGATTGTGCATCTGATTCCCACATTTTTATTTTGATGGTTGTTATTCTACTAGCATTGATATTTGATTTATTTTTTTGTCTTCCAGTTTTTAACCCACCTGAAAGAGATGTTTGCCAAATCGCGCCAGAAAGGAACAGTACAGCTAACAATGAAACGATGTAAGTTTTCCTCCTCTCTTTTCTTTCAAAAGTATATCTCTTAAACTCATTAATTAATACGCAATGATATCGATCCAGTATGACAGTCAGTAATATATGTTTTTATAGTAATAAATAAAATTAGAAGACATGTGAATAGCATTTTGCAAAAAGGAACCAAGAGTATTCCAATGTTGCTAGGATTGTGCAACTTACAATTCTTCGCATTAGCATTACTGATACCATGCGAATAATTATATTTACAAAAATGATTTTTGTCTTGGATTTATTGTTTATTGGAAATAAAGCTAAAACTTGTATAGATGATCAGTTTATAATTGCAAGGTAAAAAAAATGCACAATCTTAGCGACATTGGAATGCTCTCGGTTCCTTTTTGCAAAATGCAATCCATGTATTTTACTGACCTCACTTCATTGAATTTTAGCTGAGAAAATGATATTCAATTTTGTTGAAAATCTAACCTCATATTCAAAGAAGAAGTATCCTTAAAACGGCTTTTGTGAGAATAGTTGATGAATTGGCCTGCTTAGCTGTTTCCACTGCTGCTGTTCTTGTTCTTTGCCAAATTTAGGTAATTCTCATGTCCCTATACTTAGTAAGTGAATTTTTTGTTTCAGATGATGGTAGAACAAAACCTAGACCGAAAAATCCTGACAAAGAACTCCCTGAACCCTCTGAACACTTATGTTTAATTCGCGCAGTTCACAAATCTAAAAAACTTAGCACTGTTGTAAGTACATATGTATATTGAATGCACATACACTGTTCACAGCTCATTTTTCATAAACTTGTGCTGTTATGCCAGTGCAGGTGTATGTTTTATTGGCTGCTACCTTTCTTTTTCAGACCGCTTCTATGGTTGCTGTGTTTAGACTTTGTCCAGAGGTGGCTTCGGCCACCCATGATCCTCTCATCAGGGGTACAAAAACTTTCAAAGGTCCCTCCCCCTCCAAAAAAAAACAAATTTAGGCGCCCCCCCCCTTTTCCAGTTCTTGCAGAATTTTGCCCGACTTATAAAGTAACGCGGTAAACAGTTTTATTTCCTCAAAACAGCGCTCTTGAATGAAGCGTTCCCCACCTTGCAAAAAAAAAAAAAACCCTGCCCTCTTTCACAGGGTTCCTCCATTTTTCTCATCCTCACATGGGTCCCGCCATCTTATGGGACTGTGGTGTGAAAGTTTTTGCACCCTTGCCTCTGATGATACAATTGCATTCTCCCAAGCAGTATTATTTCATAAGGATTAACGCAGTGGAGTTTTGTCAATCATAGTAGGAAGCATTAAAGTCACGTCCAGATTTTGATATATTTAAGCTTTTGTTCATCGCTCTAGATTTGATTGCTCATTTCATGATCAAAGGTCGGATGTTAAATTGAATGCTTTTACTGCTCATTTTTTGCTGTCTGATACATTGATACTCAACCAAACTTCCGTCCACAATATGTAGACTGAGAAAATTGGAGTAATTCTAGAAAGATACTGAATTTTTATTTTGCCCTCAGACACAGCTATTTTCCTTGATGCTAAATCAGGCCTGCATGGTCACAATTAAGCTTGAATGATGAGATGTCTGTCTCGGTCAATGAGGAGCGGTTCCGAGGGTGAGGTTCGACAGTAACACACATCAGAAGCATGCACATACATTGAAAAATATTTGTGTGAAAGAAGGTGAAAGAGTAAATCGATCTTATTTTCTTTGTCTTCTCTGTTTCAGGTCCATTCTAAAGATGTCAATAAATTCCAACTAGCATATTGCAGTCTACTTAAAACAAGTTTTGATGGACTTCAGAAACGATCCAAAAAATCCAAATCGAAAGCAACTTGAGATGGTGAATTTCCTCTCCCTTTTTATTTTGTTATATACTTATGTTATTTTCCAACTTGTTTTTTACATTAAGAGATCTAGGCCAGTGTTATGAAAACGATTACAGTTTTCTTCCAAGTTTAAAATCTGTTTTTAATGTTCAGAGAGCATTATCATTACAACCGGCAATTCAATTTACAATGCAAGTAAAGGAATGTTGTGATATTATCAGGGAATTGTGAAAAAGAAAACCTTAGTATATTCTTGACATACGAAAGATAAGAACTTGAACTCACTGAGTTGCAACCAGATATCTCTTGCCTTAAATGAATAATGTTAGCCTTAATCAGTCTAATCTTATTTGAAGTCAGCTTATTTCCTCTTGTTTAATTTTTCAACAAAAAACTAAGCAATATTGTGCTTTAAAATTATGTAAAAGTATTCTCTACAGCTAAGAAGAAATTTGTAAGAAGTTGCGAGGCTTTTTGGTTAGTCGGAGAGGAAATTAGTCAGCAATAAAGAGGTTCTTTTCACATGTGTCCAAATGTACGCATTCCTATCTGGCCTTCAAAAATTATCATGATCAGACTGAACATGAAAGCAGTTGGCATTTCAGATGCAATCATCTGACACAAGTATGGGTTTTGATGACCGTTTATTATTCAGGTAACAGCTCCAGACAAACAGCCAGATTGCAGACACTCACATTTCTCTTATTTTTTTTACCCATTCCCATTGGTATTTGAGGGGACTTGAAATCTGTAATTGCTGCCTTATGTTTGAATACATATCCTGGACGTATTTTCACTCTTCCTGGAACAAAGTGAATCTTGTCAGGCGTTAACTTCATTTTCATTATACCTACTGCTGACTCTTCTTTTCTTTTTCGAGATAATTACTCCTTATGTTTTGCACCTAAGTACTTTTGTCATCTGAAATTTATTGAATAAACACAAAGGAAGCTCATGATCAAAGAAAAATCTCACTCTTTTGATCACTCTCTCAAATTGGACACTAGTTATATTCCTATGTTGTTTACAGATCTCTAGAATGTATTTCTGTTTCTTTGGAGAAGTTTATATTTTCTCAATCTAAGTAAGTGAGTAAAAGAAGCCTCAATAGACACCTGGGTAAGATAACTTTCTCGCCACTTAAGATGCAAATCAAATAGATTATTTTTAAGTAGAATTAGTAGGGGTATGTATGTATGGTCATATTATGCCATTTGACCAAAAAAAACCCTGATATCAGGTATAGTAAGGAAAGTTTAGGGATGCAATTCCACTTTTCCTGTGTATTTTTGACTGCTAAATCCAAAAATGACCCAGCCTTTTCTCCATCGGCCACTAATTACCAGAAAAATCCTGATTATTGAGGAAAATCTTGATTTTCTGCAAAATTAGTGGCTCGTTAGGCAAGACTAATGTCACTTTCGGACTAAGCACTGAAAATTACATTGAAACTACCCATGAATTCTTCAACATTTTCAATAAATAAATTTTGCAGACCTGTGTAGTTAGAATGTTTCTGTGGTCCTCCCAAATGCTAAATCATGAATTGAAGGAGGATAGGCAACAAGCACTTTTAGCTCAGAAAGTAGAAAAAAGATAGGCATATTTTATTACTCAAGAGCTGAAATGCATCATTTCTTACAGCCCAGAAAATTTGGAAAGACAAGGAAATAATTAACAGTTGAGGAATCAAACAGAAATTGTCATCACAATGAAGCTGAAAGTATGAAAAATGAAAAAAAAATTAAGTCTAAATAATTTATAATTAATGAATATTTTTTTTCTTTAAGAACATAAATTATAAAAACTGCTTAACTGGTGCGAGTAATAATAACACAAGATAAGGATCTGCTGAAAAATGTTTGAATTATCAAGATCAGATGTATAAAAATTGTGTATTATAAGCACCTGAAAGTAAAGGGAGTACTTCGAAATTGTGTAAATTTTACAGTATGAAAGCTCTCATTAAGGAAATATATCTCATATCATATATTTGATAGTATAAACACGTTGCCTCTCTATTAATGGTACGATTACAGTTGCAGCTCGCATTGCATCACCACCAAGATACGAAACATTTGCAAATAATGCAGTTTTCATCAGGGGTTTTCCGACTAAATGCCAGGCGACACTTCATGAATGTTCGATGAGCAACTGAAAGATGCTTCAAATCAGAATTAAGATGCACCATAATTTTTTATACCGATACTTTACCTTCGGTGTGGGCGATAAGTATCAGACGAAATTGGAGGTGTTTTCGACTGGTGGAAACAGTTTCTTGTTGTTCACAACAAAGCGTATTAGTCCAGTCAATCTAGCATTATTCTAGGAAAATCAATACACAGAAGGTTTCTATGCGGAAACATGTTGTAATAGGCCACTAAAACAACATATCAAAAGTTTACCGGAATCGGCTGTCCGCTAAGGCCACCATCGCGAAAACAGACAGGCTGGGGGGCCAAAACACGCCGCGGTGACTGGTTTTTCGCATATATAAAGAAAAAAAATCAATCCTACGGGAAAATTCTGAGGAGTTTCGGAGACTTCGGAAGTTTTTCTTCAATTCCTTACGTCATATATCAGGAATCAAGGGAGTACTAGTCAGAATGGTGTGTTTTTAAAATGAGTTCCTCTTTGATAATTAACGCTGCCATGCGCACGACTTACTCGCTTATCTCCTTCTTTGTCGTACTTTTTTGCATACCAGGCATGTTGCAAAAATTTCTCTCTCTACTAGATTTAATGTAGGAAAATTTGTCACTAAGATGGGGGGGGGCAGGCAGGCGGGTGGCAGGTGGGGGGGGGGCCCTNGGCAGCTCCCGGGGGTTGGTTTTTTTGGTTGCCAGGGAGGGCAGCCCCTGGGGGTTGTGTTTCTGTGATGCCAGGGGGGGGAGCAGCCCCTTGGAGTTGGGCTGCTTGAATGTCAGGGGGGTTTCCCCCCGGAGGCTGGGCTGCTTTGATGTCAGGGGGGCAGCCCTCGGGGTTTGGGCTCATTGGTTGCCAGGAGGGCAGCCCCGAGGGTTGGGTTCCTTGGATGTCAGGTGGGGCAGCCGCAGGGGGGTTCGGCTCCTTGGATGCCAGGTGGGGCTGCCCCGGAGGTTTTGCCCCCTTAAAAAACACTGTGTATCACATTGCTGAAATTCGTACCCTGTTGCCTGGGACAATGATTCGCCTTCAATTAGCCGGCTATGCAAGATGACTGTCGGGACGCACGAATGGTGGTATCAAAAATTGTCATCACGATTACGCAGTAGGTTGAAGGCGCTCTTCTGTATCCTATCTGAGAGGCCTTGTATAAAGATGTCGAGAAAAAATGTTCAACATTTTGGAGTCTTCAATCGAGCCGTAATTTTAAAAAGTGCCAGAAGAACATTCTTTTGTGTACTAAGATTTTGTTTTTTGTCCGTAAGTCCTAACGTGTCTTAAATGAGGTATAATTTTGCATCATCGTTTTTGAAGATGTAAGATTGATTTTCTCGCCCGTTGAACAGTCTACAGTTTAAATAGCTCATAAAATTTTAAATGTTGATATTTCCTCAGTTACCAACAAATCATTTGACATCCAGATATTTGTGCATCTGCTGGCGTTAAATCAATTTTAATGGTTCATTAAATTTTAAATGGACCACTAGACAAGGTACGAATTTAAGCATTCTGATACATGTATCTTAACCAAAATTTCACGTAGAACACGATTCGCGCAACGAAAATTACTGAAACCAACTCCTAACGAAACTATATTAACATTTTTATTTCACATTGGTTACGAGGAATTTGAACTGCCCGCTCACAAGAAACTCAAAGCTCTACGTAAGTCAAATCACGCACTACAACGGTCTCAGCAATCTTCTCAATCGAGCAATGTTCATTTCCCACCATGTGTTTTTCAAACTATAAGTAATTTGCTATAGCTGAGCCAAAGTGTCAAGATTGAGGTTGCCAGATTTTTTCATCGCAGAGACGTTCATGATAACGTTTACGAGCGATGTGAATCACGTAGAGCATTGAGTTTTCATGAGCGCGTGCTTTGAATTCACGCACCAAGAATCATTAATATTTTCGGAAGGAGTTGATTTCGGTAATATTAGTTGTGCGCATCGTGTTTTACGTGAAATTTTGGTAAAGAAACGTGTATGAGAATGCTGAAATTCGTACTTTGTCTGGTGGTCCATTGTGAAACGACATCCAGGTATATGTGCGTCTGATGGCAGATATTGTCATCGAAACTTCCAAACGATGATCATCGCCCTCAAGAGAAACAAAAACAAATGGAAATCGGATGAGTTGGTAGTCTTTAAGACAAAGAGCGTTGAAAAACGCTTGAGGGCGTAGCACGAAATGAAGTAACCTCCAAGTTCTACAAGCGCCAGGATTTTACGGCGATTTATTATTAAATATATTGAAATTAAGTCACGATTTTCTATGATTTTTCGGTGAGTAAATCGCCAGAATCACCAACATCTGAGCAATTATCCTCGATCTTGTCCCAATTTTATCTCTATAAAAACGCATTCGATGAATCGAAATTTTATCTCCGTATCTAAGAACCACGCTTTTTTGTTAGATAATATGGCGATAAATCGCCGTCGATATAATTGCAAATCTATGCGATTAAATCGCAATCTACCGCAATTTTTTATCCGATAATATTGTAATAAATCGACTTGGATAAAATCGCGGTACATACTTTCCGATCAAATTGCAACTTATCGCGATCGCAGCTACTTGGGCACTACTTAGTGGAATAATTGTTCTAGTATTCTTGATTTGCCTTCACCATAATTCTACTATTACTGTGTATGCGTAGGCGGTAGAGAGAACATTTTTTGGTATCGGTCCAACGTCATTAAGAATTTTTGGATGGAATAATTTAATCCGAATGGTCGCTCTGAGCAAAACGTCGATTACGAGCTTTTCAAGAGCATCGCAGAAAAAAATTAAATGTTGATTTAGCATGTTAGAAAAATGTGCGACAAGTATCAAATGCTGATTATACTTTTAAAAAAATGCTAACTCATTATTGAATTTGTTAATGTAATCGTGAACGTAGTTAACCTAGCATTGTTTTTATTATAAAATCAGCATTCATGCTTGTCGCGCATTTTTTTAACATTATACATGCCAAAGCAACATTCAATTTTTTCTCGTGAGGAAGGCAGAGTTTATGGATTTTAATGATAACTTATTTCTCATTCAGCAGTATCTGGACTTTTTTAACATTTCAACGTAATCTGAGTGAAATTTTGATGAAAAAACTGAATAGTTGTAGTGTTTTCATTCTTATTCTGTTGTGGTTCACCGTCGAGAAGTATTGAAGCACATCCCTCCTGTTACCCAAGTAGCAGCGATCGCGATAAATAGCGATTACATCGGTTAGTTATCGCAATTATATTGGTGGCAATATATCGAGATATTATCGCATTAAAAATTGCGATATATGGCGATTAAATCGCTACAAATCACAATTTTTGGTTCGATGAAATCGTGATCAATTTTCGTCGATAAAATCGAGATTAAATCGCCATTTATCGCGATTTTTATTTCGCAAATATCGTGACAAATTGTCGGGCGATAAAAGTGCGATTTTATCGCGATAAGATTGAGGATAATCGGTCAGATGTTGATGATCCTGGCGATTTTATCGCCGAAAAAATCGCAATATATAGCGATTATATCGCATATCGATATATCGCAATATATAGCGATTTTTCCGTTGAGAAATTCTACTTGGGCAGAGGTGGATCCAGCAATTTGGCAACACCGGATTCCCACCATTTAATAACCTATATGTTAAATAATCGATTCTTGCCGAAACACCCGGCTCCTCCAAGAATCGATATATTTCCGTAGGTTTAAATGGAAAAACAATGTTGCCAATTTGCTGGATCCGCCAATGCTCGAACTTGAATCGGCTGCTTGGTTTCATTTTCCGCGCGAAGCCTCCCGTCATTTGCTATATCCCAACAAATAATAAATCCACGTCAACCGATTGGCGAGCGTGTAGTTTTGCTTCCGTTATTTATCTCTTTCAATTTTCAATTAAAATTAAAGGCTCAGCGCTGTCAATCGCGATACTCACAATCAGTCACCCTCAAAATTTTATTCCTCCTATCTAATCAACTCCGTAGTCTGCCATCTACAAGTGTTGTGTTTGCAGCTTCCATTTTTCCAGCAGCTCTTTCCTGTACACGGGAAAAAGTATATTGCTGTTTTAACAATTTTGTAGTTTAAAAAAATGACTGCAATGTTTCAATGCAGAGTTTTCAATAAAAGAATGCTAATTTAAACACCCCGTGGTTAAAATAGCTTTCCTCTATTGTAAAATTTACTTTTGAAACATTGCAGTCACTTTTTTTAACAATTGAATTGTTAAATCGGCAATCCCTTCTTTTCCATGCACGCTAAATAGCCGGAACTTTTTTCAGGCGCAATTTTAGTCCGTTTTTGTTCGTTTCAACAAAAAAATAAGAAAAATTACCCACTACCTCCCTTGGTG